TCATTCAATCAATCAGTCAATATACTACGATTCTCGGCACTAATTAGGTACGCATAAAATTTGGTGCGCATAGCTCACGAAGAAAGTCATGGTGCATCGGCTACGTGCAGGAAACGAATCTTATAATTTGTAATTGCGATTCAAAATATAGTAAAACTGCAATCACAGAAATCAGGCTTGAATATGTACAATTTCTGCCATTTTCACTTTCCTTGGTGGGATCTCATTGTACGTTCTGGCCTTGCGCCATATTCTCTATTGCAAGTGCCCCAAACTTTACCGTATATATCGGAGACTTTCTTTAGCGACATCATGCAGGTCTCTTTGATGTTCATGGTGGCCACAGTGATAAGCACTAATGGTCATTGCAACCGCAATGCATACTCTTGATAAGTAGGACTATGATAGGGCCCATGTTTTCATTATTTAGGTTAGTACTCTATTACTATGGACAAAGAAAGGCAAGCGGGCTATGCTTAATGACTACGCTGATCAGTACCTCTTATAGTAGCCATTTTATAACAAAGGTACGTGTGTACATAAAAATACAGGTTGCTTAGAATTTCAAAATTTGAAAACTAATGAGCATACGCATCTTGATATTGAACCTTATACAATAGTCGTTGCGGTCTGAAAACAAAAATTTGCGGAACTCTTTGGCAACACCTTCAAGAGTGGAACTTGACAGCGATATCCTGTTCCTGGTGTGTATTTCAAGCACTTACTTCATGAAATCTTTTAGATGCGGAAGCATCTTATACTCGCGCCTTGTAGTGCGCCGTCCGCGCCGTCCGCGCCGTCCGCACCGCTTCTCGAACATTCGACAGCTGACGCGCGCGCATGCGCCGTCGTGCCGTCGCCCACTCTTCCACCATCTGTGCATCCCTTCCTCCTCTACACACCGCGCGCGCTTCACTCCTCCACCATCTGTGCACCCTTGCTCCTCTACACACCGCGTTCGACATCTACAATTCTCCTGATTCTCCAGTGGACGCGCATGCGGCGTCGCGCTTCGAGAACATTCAACAGCTGACAGTGCATGCGCCGTCGCGCTGTATATATACTCAAGGTCGGCGCTCGCTCAGTTGCCGCTCGTCGGTTGGTTTGTACGGCGCGACGACGTCCAAGGTCGCGTGAAATGAATTCCAACGAATCCACAAACACAATGATCGACGTCCCTTCGACCAGCGCCGCCCTTTCGCATACGTGTGTACGTGTTCACTCATTTAACACCCCCTCCTACAACCACGTTAACCAATTTAGCCATCGACCCAAGTAAGTCGCAATTTAACACCCCATTTCACAACCACGTTAACCAATTTAGCCATCGACCCAAGTAAGTCGCACTTTAACACCCCGTTAACCAATTATATGCTCCGCATCCTCCTCAGTGTTCCCCCGAGGGAAGCTGCGGGCAATTTTTTTTCGAACTTGCTATGCACCCCACTATGTGGCCTTAAGGGAATAGGCGCAGTAAAGTGTGTGCGTTTTGTAGTGAGGTACCTGCTTTAAACAATGAATGGCAATCGCATGTTCTGACGCCCTATGGCAATGTACGCGTGTACCACGCACTTCCGCGATAGCTTTAAAGAGCTGATTTTGCAGAAATTGCGGTGTCAGCTTCGTTGGTTGTGAGCGCAAAATCTTGCGCGTGACTGAAAATTGATAAAGATAGAATTTAAATAAAAAAAATGTTGGCAGATCCACGAGGTGAATGATGATGAGATCGGGCGAAGCTCCTAGAAGTAATACCGTGAAATGTTCTTCCATTAATTCGCCCGATAAAAAACACCTGGCGTCTTTCGTTAAGCAGCTGGCGTCTTCTTTTTGTTTTGCTTTAGAAACATCTGGCGTCTTTTCGTTTTGCGTTTAGAAAACATCTGGCGTCTTTTGTTGGTTTATTTCATCAATCTACGGCGTTTTGAACAAAAATTTTTTATTGTTTAATTACACACAGGAGAAATCTCACCACGCACTACCTTGGAGGTGAACAATGGCTGCTACTAGTAATGAGAGAAAGCAGATGTTGGCTTTTAACAATTCTACTTCTACTAACGTTTCCTACTGGAACATGCCAATGGCTGCTAATGGGGGATGAGAGACAGGAGCGTTGGGCTTTTAGTTAACGCGCACGCCGCGAACTTTTTATTGTTCAACAAAGCACAGGAGAAATCTCCCACCGGCACCACTTTGCAGGTCAAAATGTAACACTTGTTACACACTACGACTACAAGGGACGAACGGTTGTCGCTTTAAGGAGCTTCGCCCCTAACAAAGAAAACGTTCTGGATCTGAGTGAGGTTCGAATCTGGGTCGTCTGCGTGGTAAGCGGGTGTTGTACGTCTAAGCCACGCGTCTGCTTTGAAATGCAGTAAAAGTAACTCTCATGCCTTACAAACACACGCGTCCTCCATACCTTCTTCACAATGCAACACGTAATATCGCCGTAATAATGCGTGGTACAAGCGTACATTTCGATCGGGCGTCAGAACCAAGAAGGTTGTATAGACATGGCATAGAACCTCCTTGGTCACAACAAGGGATTATTGTGACTTCATGGCTTAAAGCGCGCCACCCGCTACGAAAGGCACACACGTTACTGCGCCTTTCTCACTTTAGGCAACGTAGTGGGTGCATCGTAAGCTCGAAAAAAATTCACGCGCACTACACTGCCTACACTGCAACACGCACGATTCCCCGTGGTTACAAGCGTGCTACCTATTACACCGAATGCAGCCGTATGCGAAAGCTCTACTGACACAAGCCATTTTTAATTCGGTATGCATTAGGGACAGGGTATCGCTATCGCGTTCAGCTCTTAAAGGTGAAGCTTAAGAGTCACGTTCGATGGAGGTCAAAATGCTGTAAGGCCATGTGCTACGATTTAGGTGCATGTTAAGGAAACCTAGGGGGTCACGATTTCCGCAGCCCTCCAATACAGCGTCTGTCATAATCATATGGTGGTTTTGGGACGTTAAACCCCACATATCAATCAATGAAGCTTAAGACTCCTCCAAATTTTACTACAATATTTGATGCTGTACTGTGACGCATGCATACATGTCGTGTGTATTTGTATAAAGAATGAAAGTTACTTTCACTGCATTGCCAATCATATGAAGTTATTTTCCCTTTGTTTACAAGCAGGCGCGTGACTGTCTGATAGAACACTCACTTGCCACGCAAACACAGATTTTTTTTTTAGTCATGCGCAATTTTTTAGTCACGCATAAGATGATAATTTTTTGCTCAGAACCAACAACGCTGACGCCGGAATTTCTGCCATACGAGTCATTTAACCCTATCACCTTAAAACTGAAGAGATACAGAGTAAAAAAAGGAAGAAATAAAGGATACAAAAAATAGCAAAGCTCACCCGCACTAATTCGAAGATTAGCATGACCCCATTGCCCCACTGTCAGCAGTGTACCTAAATTATTCCAAATTATGCGGTGTTCGTTGTAATCACTTAGGGTGATTGTTTGATTGATAGCTGGGGTTTAACAGCCCAAACCGCCATATGATTATGAGAGACCCTGTTGTTGAGGGTGCGGAAATTTCGACCACCTGGGTTTCTTCAACGTGCGCCTTAAATTTGAGCACACGGGCCTACAGCATTTTCGCCTTCATCGAAAATGCAGCCGCCGCCGCAGGGATTCGATCCCGCGATATATGGGTCAGAAGCTAAGTACCTCAGCCACTAATCCGCCGTGGTGGGGCAATCACTCAAAGTGCAACAATCTTCAGAAGTCAATGAAACGGAACACACTTTTTTAAAGCTGTCTGTTTTGATAAAAACACCTTTGTGTTTAGTGTCTACGAAAACCTTTTTTTTGTCTTACTATACCGCTTGCCGAACTCTGATTATACAGGAGTAAACACCCCAGTCAGGCCCATGCTCAGTCCTTTAGCCCGGACCACTTCAATCACGCTTTCAAATGGACAGATGGAGGATGTATGAACTTTATAATATAAGGTCCTCCAGAATGTGCTTTAGCACAACCCGGGCAGCTCCCACGTCGGAACAAAAAAATCAAGTCTCTTTGCTGCGTCGCGGACTCGTTGGACTGTCCATAACTGTGGTTCGCGTCCAGAGGTGGTAATAGCACCCTCTCATATGGACGGCGTGATGGCTTCACCAAAGCGTAACGCGGGGCACCGCCACAGCATGTGTTTTAAATTATCTATGTCATTAGGGAATGCGTATTAGTTTGCTATAAAATCTGTGAATGAAAGCGGATGAAGGTTCACCGCGTGACAGACATCTTTAAAGGCTTGCCTATGGCACAAGAGTGCACCCCAAGTATTTACAATGCCCTCACTTTCATTATTAGGCTTCCTTCCTTCCACGTACAAGTAATCATACTATCAAAAATGCTGCAAGACGCGAATACAGTATCGCAGAGTATAATTAAATAATTATTTAATTATATAAATAATTGGTTTATTGGTTGATTGATTGATTTATTGACTGATTGATTGATTGATTGATTGATATGTGAGGTTAAACGTCCCGAAACCGTCATGTGGTTAAGAGAGACGCCATAATGCAGGGCTCCGGAAATTTTGACCACCTGGGGTTCTTTAATGTGCACCCAAATCTGACCACACGGGCCTACAGAGTTTGCGCCTCCATTGAAAATGCAGCCGCCGCAGCCGCGATTCGATCCCACGACTTGCGGGTCAGCAGCTGAGTACCATAGACCACCGCGGCGGGGAAATCACAGAGATAGGTTTAAATGTTTCCGTTACGTGAATTTTTTTACTGTGTTGGTGAACTGTAGGCTTCTCGAACAGTGCACACGTATACAGAAACAGCACAGAGCAGGGCGGCGCTAGTGACTATATAATTTAAAGCTGAAGCAAAATTCACGAGTCCAGGAAGGCATGCGCTTCATAACGGAGAAGAGAATGAAGAAACGTGGCGTAGAGAAGCGTGCGCACGTGGGGGGACTGCGTCAGAAGAAGCGGAGAAGCACGGTCGAGCAGTTGTCGCTATGATGGCTGCCAAGTCCGAGTCTTCGTCCACGGTGCCCAACCACAAAGGCTCTGTCGCCGAGCACACGGTGAGCACTTAGACCAACACCTACCCTCAATGGTGCATGTGGCGAGCTCGATAGTATCGACTCTGCAGCTGCAGAATAGAACATGGTGCTTACGTGAGAGTTTAGGTAGTCTTTGTATTGCCGGCAGGCGGTAGAGTATGTCTACCAACCGGGGACTGGCAGTTTTTTTTTATGGGAGGGTTTCAAGCGACGTTCTCTAGAGAGTGTCTCGAGGCTGGTCTGGTGCTACCGAACGGCGAGGAGCTGCCAAGGCTAGAGGAATACCGCGACCTAGGCGTGATATTGACCACCTCATAGATGCTCTTCGCACGACGGGAACACACTTGAAACATGCGGCACTGCGAGGTAGTCGCATACTGTCTGGACAATGCCTGTTGGGCGCGTTAGGTTAGGTGGCGTTAAGTTAGAGTTCAGGTCATTTACTATACTTGACAATAGTGATCAGTGTTGCGAAATGTCGGAGAGAAAAAAAACAGCTAAACGATGACCTAAAGCTAAAAATACAGCAAGCCGGCAAGACAGGCTCACCAGAAATGTGCCGGCAGATAAGTCGCATGGTTCTGGGCAGCCAATAAGGGAAAACTGCCGGCAACTCGATTTCCGGGATAATATAACAGTCTTCAAGAGAAAAAAGTTGAAGTAATCGTAAAACGTCTTTTCAACTTTCGCTAGCGCTCCGGCACTACGCGGTGTAGGCATTCAGATTACTCCGCGCCAGGCTTCACGCCGGGAAATGTTTCACGTATACTGGAATTCCCATAGCGGGCAACGACGAACCGAGCGAAACAACGTATCTGAGGCGTCCCCTGCAGAATGCGTGCGGAATTTCTTTAGCTATCACCCGGGTTCGCTATAATCGACGCTGATCGTTTTCATAACGTAACTACATGCAAGTAGCCTGCTTTATTTCGAATACGGTACTGCAGGACTGGTTGAGGCTGTCGCCAGTACTGCTTCCTTATACTTCTTTATATCTGCTGCGTCACTTGAACGTTCAGCCTTGAGAGTTGTTCTTCTCGCTAGAGCTGGAATCGAGCTGTGCCCAGTGGAGAAGCGCACGTCGTTAGCGCCAGAATCGCAGCCGGAAATGCATATTTCTGCAGCACCCACCGCCATAGAGTCTAAAATTAACTAGAGGGCACTCTGGCGCTGCGATCGTTCAGCGACCATGGAAATGATGGGTAGCACACACATTTGCCTAGTCTTTGTACTTGCGGGTGGCAAATCGTACTTGCGGCTTCGTTTATTACTGTGTTTCGGTTTAGTTTTGAAAGAAACATTGAACCCTTTTGAACTTCGTGAGCCGATTCGGAAAGTAAGTCTAAAACAATAAAATGGTGAAGCGCAACCGCTGAAAATTTGCTAATACTTGTTTCGTAAGAAAGCAGCTCCAAGCCACACGAACACACACGAAGCCAAAGCAGGCCAGAATTACGAATATTAGAGAACTGTGTGTACTTCCCATCATTCCTATGCTCGCTGAAGCGCCGTGCGTTGCAGCTCCCATAGACACTAGCGCCAGAGTTCCCTCTAGTGTATATTGGGAAACTTTATGCCCACCGCCACAGACTGGCTATCATAAGTGCAACAAATAGTCATGCAGCAGAATGTAACATGCCTTTGTTATTAATAAATTAGATACCTGATATCGCTCCAGTGAATCGGCTCGTGTGTCTGAGGAATTCGTATAGTTGATATCGTGTTCAAATGGCGTGGAGGTGAAATCTTACAAGCATATTTGCACAGATTCGTCCGCATTTCTTTCCGTTTCCATAGACTAATAAATTCTATGCGGCGCAATGCGCTAATAATTGTTTCACTGACACAATAATACTTATCAACTTACGTAACGGTTCCTATAGCAGGGCCTATAATATGCTGTCATTTCCCCTTTATTCAAAGGCCACTCCAGGGTGAAAAAGCGCTCTCAGCGATAATTACGCGCTGTCTTTGGGGCCATGAGTGGAACAAAACAGCGAGCTTTATTCACGAGACGTCGTCTCTCAACAGGTGGTGGGGCAGAAGATAATTCTCTACTCGGTGAAGATTTGCTAAATGCTTGCCTAGAGTTGAGTTTCTTAATAAAGAGGGAACAAAGAACGAAAAAAGCTTATTTTATTTTATTTAGTAAATTGCGCTCTCACAGTACCCAAAACCCTGCAGGCGCTGCGTAAGCGACAAAGCGTGCAGAAAGATAATCTGGGTGGTGACGCTATTTTTAGGTTCCCGCAACATGCCCCGTGATGTCACCCACTAAAAGCGGCTACTGAGGCCAACGTAGTTACCAATATGCAAAAACAAAGTCCTCCGAAAGAGCAAGTTTGAGGAAATTCTGTGGAGCAACTCCTGCCAAAATAAGGTATATATATTTTGTAATCCATGACATCCCACATGAAAGTTTTAGCGCCAAATTTATGAATGGGACTTTGAATTTTAGTTTATGCTCTATTACTAAAGCTATAACAATGAGATTAACTGCGCTAGAGTTGTCAGTGGATGATTTATAAACCTAAACCAATTCACGCCTTCTCCTTATTGTTCCTTGACGCCCCAAGAAAATCGTGAGCCTCAAGGATATTGTGAGCCCCAAGCATATTGGCTCCGACAACCTTGTTGGTTTAGTTACAGCTGTGAGATGGCGCCTATTGTTCTCAGCTAAAACCACCAGTGACTGCTATGGAGTTCCCGTATTCTGCCACAATGCACGCATACCTTGCAAGAGTTCTGTCAGGTGAATGTGGAGACATGCCTTAACAGTATCTTGCTTATATTAAAGAGGCTATCGCAGCACGAAATTCATGCCTACAATGGCGTTCCTTCTCTTTGCACTCGCAGATACAGTCAGCCACTATCGACGAACCTTCGTCGCGGTACTTCTGCGGCAAGGGGGAGATCCACTTCTGGAAGAACTTCATGTTCGAGCCAGATGTGAGTGCATCAGTCGGATGGGAACAAACTGCGTTCAGCGTGCCAATATTGTGTGTTTCCGCGTGCGCTTTGGAATTAGGCCAGTTATTCTGAAAACGAATCTGTGAAGTCGTTAAAGATAGACGTGTACGAGCCGATTTTTCTAGTTCACAAATGTGCTTGGGTGAAATGTACTTACTCCCAATGGTAGCTTTCACGATCAAAACGAGGACAATGCGGTAACTTCACATGCTGTTCACATGCTGGTGTTCTACTGGACGTACTTGTTTCTTCTAGGAGTACTGCCAGTCAAGCACTCGCTTCTGGTTTTTCTGGAATATTAGGAGACAGTCTAGTAAAAGAAGACTGTTGCGAAACACAGGTTTCTAGTTTAGGTTAGTGCTATAATGTGTTACGTATATCAGACTATAAAGTTATCTAAAATAAGGGCAAATTAGTTCATAAAAAATGAATGAGGCCATTGAAAGCGGAGAGTTTTCTTATAATCAGCAGCGATGCTCGGGAGACCAAGCGGAGCAGATCTCGATCCCACGCTTATCTTATTTCTGCGTGGACTTCTAGATACGCTTCTGCAGTTCATAAAGCCGCGGGAACACCGACGTGAGTATGCCACTTTATGGATTCGGGTCGCCTCAAATTTTTGGTTGCGTAATGTCAAGGGGGTGAAGTTTTCTTATGCTACGTCCAAAGACTTGAGCAGGGCCTTTTTTCAGAGGAGGGCGGGAGGGGCAAAGGTTTGTCGGGGCGCCACCTCTCTAATATGTCAATGTATATGATTGACATTGGTGGCCCCCTGTGCTCCTCCCACTCCTCCAATGCGCATGCCTATGGCTACGTCATGACGCACTTAAACTGCTCATCACCAGCAAAAGCCAGCTTTAAATTTTTTTGTAGATGAGAAATATTCCTGCGCACATGAAGATAATCAACCTTAATATAGAAATTAAAAAAAGTTCCCTCTCAATTCTGTGTGTCTACCTTCAGATCGCTATACTCAAGGCCGTGCTTTGACCCTTATGGATTAGAAAAGCTAAGCCTACATTTTTTTCACGCCATTTGGACATTGAAGGTGCAGCCCCGCCAGGGTGGCCCAATGGCTAAGGTACTCGACTGCTGACCCGCAGGTTGCGGGATCGTATCCCGGCTGCGGCGGCTGCATTTCCGATGGAGGCGGAAATGTTGTAGGCCCGTGTGCTCAGATTTGGGTGCACGTTAAAGAACCCCAGGTGTTCAAAATTTCCGAAGCCTTCCACTAAGGCGTCTCTCATAATGATATAGTAGTTTTGGGACGTTAAACCCCACATGTCAATCATCATGACATTGAAGGTGCAGACTCGGCTGTGGTGAGAAAAACGTGGGAGATAACGAGGCCAGTCTCGCCACGGTGGCCTAGCGCCTAAAACACGCGGATGCCAACCCGCAAAAGCGGGATTGAATGCCTGCGACGGCGGCTGCATTTTCAATGGAGTTTTTTTACAGCCTAGAACATTTTCGCCTCCACGGAAAATGCTCTCCGTGTACTCAGATTTGGGTGCACCTTACTGAAAACCCAGGTGGTCGAAATTTCTGGAGTTTACCACAGCGGCGTGTCTTATATTCATATGGTGGTTTTGGGACGTCAAACCCCCTATATCAATCAATCAGATAAAGAGGCCCAGCGCGTGAAGCGAGTGCAGTGCATTCTTTATATCAGAGGTGTAAAAATGTCCAGCAGAAGTGGCTTCTGCATTATTGTTGTCCATGGACTCGTAGCTATCCTCTGCGCAGTAAACTCATCAAGCGATGTGTCTATTATATACAAAGGTCCCGACTAGGGTGGGCTTTGTAACAATATCGTAGTTAGAACGTTGTCGCTGCTAATACGTTTAATTGCTAAATAAGTTACGTTGGTGATTCATGCTGACAATGACCAGGGCGCAATAGCACAGCTACGAAAGCACAAGCAGGAAACGAGAGCTGACTCCAAAATGGTTATTTATATTGAAAAGAATCTACTACATTCATGTGTGCGTGCGCAGTCGGAGTAATGCAGAACCATTTTCACTGAAATACATAGCTACAGATTCAGTTTAAGAATTATAGTGACTGCTGCAGAAACTTACACGCCTTGAGTAACATGGTTGCTCTATTGGATAGGGTGACCGACGGTTTTCTGTAGCAGGTGCATTCATCTGCAATCGAATTTAATCTAGCGTGGATGTCCTACGCTTTCAACGTGCCGAGGTAACTTTTAAGGCCAAATACATGGAAGCATACGCAATCAGTGACGAAGGCCAGATGGCTTGGAGTAGATGCGGCCACGTGAGTAGACCTTTGGTTGCTGAACAAATCTGCAAGTTTTGTTCCAGGTAAGATGGAGAAAGTTGAAACCTGGGAGAGCGAGACAGCGTTCTGTTTTCTGTCATCGCAGGGTCGCCCATATATCCGGGTGACCCACGACATCAGCATCGACGAGGTGCTGACCATCCTCACCCGCGACTGGAAGTTCACACTGCCTCGCATCGTTCTCGTAGTCGTCTCGAGTCTGGCCACTTGGCAGGAGTGGAGCGCCCCGAGGCAGCTGGAGAACTTCAAGGAGGGCCTCATTAAGGTTTGTCGAACTTCCCTGGCGGGTACTTCTATCGGCTGCGAAGAGTTACTGGACTTCTTCTTTTCGGAGCTTTCTCGTAGATAAATTATCGAAACTTGCTGAACTGAACCGTTGAAAAGGACTCTACTCCTAGTGGTGATAGTTGCCTACTTGGCAGGAGTGGAGCGCCACGAGGCAGCTTGAGAACTTCAAGGAGAGCCTCATTAAGGTTAGTTGGGCTTCGCCGGCGGGTACTTCTATCGGCAGCGAAGAGTTACTGGACTTCGTCTTTTCGGAGCTTCCTCGTAGATAAATTATTGAAACTTGTTGAACTGAACCATTGAAAAGGACCTTACACTCCTAGTGGTGATAGATGCCTACCATTTTATATCACCTCCAGCTAACTCTAGGAATAATTGGCTGATTTCTCGAAACTCTAATTAGGTTACGTTCACAGGCGGAGATGACTTCTTATGGATTCCACATAGCCGACCAGTGACTTGGCATAAGCGATAACTAATGTTGAAGATGTGACAGCCTCAGAATTTAGGGCCGTTCAGAGAAGAGGAATGCCAACACAGCTAATTACAGCGCGTGTTCGTTTTCAATTCATTCCTAATCACCCACAAATAAAAAAAACGGTGTTGTGGCATAGCTTCCCATGCGGCGTTCTTTCTTGTGATGGAGCCAAAACGCTAGAGAACCAAGAACCAATATTTATGTGGATGTTTATTAACACAAGTGGTAAAACTTCAAGAGGAATTCACTATGGCTTCTATGATAATGATATTGTGGTGTTCGGGCGTCAAACACCAACATTTGTTATTGCCCTGTATCATTTTTGAGTATTCTATCTGGCAGTGGTGCAATACGTTACATGCAGGGCTGCCGAACGATGCCTGCGAGGCCGTCGTGATAACGTTGGCTGTCATATTTCCACTGGGTATCAGCTATAGGGCAAAAGAAACCTCCTGGTACCACTGCTGTGGTATTTAAGGGATGCTTCACAATAGCCGTGACAACGTCGCTGGGTGATGCGGCAGCAACCTGACGAAACGTGTCTTCTCGGGCAGTTGAATGTGAATCTGCACGTCCACCCGTACGTCCGTGCGTGCGTCCGTACATCTTGCCTTGTTTTTTACTAGTCGGCGACTCACACATGGACCTCAAAACGTAGCTTCAACCGCTCGTCATCTTTCACTTCGTAGAGATGCGTAAGTTTTGTGTCGCTTTTGTATTTATACTTGGTAATGTATCCACATGAACAGTGCGTGGCTGGCGCATCGCCCTTCACAACTCGATCTCTCTTTCTCACTGCACTCATTCTGAGCGTTCTTGCGATGCCTCGCAGCCAGGTTTTCCTCGCACGAGACGGCTTTTGCACTTTGTTGTAGGCAGCCAACACGACTGCCATGTGGATCCTGACGAACGGCGTCAATACGGGCATTGCCAAGGAGATCGGCTCGTGGGTGAACGAGGAGTTGGTGCAGCGACTCATCCTGCGCTGTCACCCCCACCCGCACACGACGGATTTCGAGAAGCGGCCACCCCTGTGCCTGGTGGGCGTCGTACGCGAGGACCTCCTTACGTGCGCCGACAAGTTTGAGACAACGAAGGTGCGCACTGTCTACGACATAACAGTGCTTAGCGCCCCTCGTGACTTCCCCATGGAATGCCTCCAAAAGTTACGAGGTGTTGCGCATCTTTTCTGCGATCCACGTAATCTTGAACACCATGGTTAATCCTACCATCGTTTGTAGGACATGGTGAACGCTAAGCAAGCTCTTAAAATAGGGGTCTCGAACACGTGGCATATGGTTGCACGTGGCCCGCAGACCTTCTATAGCGGTCAAGCCCGGACATTTCTGTTTTCTTCCCGTTGGTTTTTTTACTAGTTTATTAGTAATTTTAATCTTGCCATGTGTTGAGCTTCTCCAGGATGTCGGCGCTGTGGACCAAAATGTCCAAACTTAGTAACGGGCGTCCATATTTCAGTCACGCGAGAGATCACTATGAATATGTTTCTCTGATCGAGAGGTCCAATCACCTTCAAAAACGATCCGTACATGAAATATAGGAAATGCCTTTCAGATCTCAACTTTAGCCGGCCTTCCGTTCAAGTCCCCCCCCACCCTCCCGCTCCCGCTGATTCGTCCTCGGTGTTTCGGCCGTTGTGGTATAAATTACCGCAACTTTGGTCAACCAGCTGAGGCGACATTGAGAGCAATGCCGTAAAACAGTGTTCAGTTTAAATGGACCTGTACGAATGGTACCGCGACGTGGTCGTCAGATGCCTTTAATTTTCTTGAGTCTCCTTTTTCACACTAACGGGGCTTCCTTGTATGACCTTGGTTGAATTCCAATGGGGCCATCTTAACAGTCTTAGACAATGTGCCCGTTCGACCCCGTGAAAGTGGCACATTGCACAAATTTGCGGAGCCCTTCACTTTAGCATCTATCATAATCACATGGTGGTTTTGAGACGTTAAACCCCACATATCAAACAGTTTAAAAAGTATTTCCCAGTATTTCCCAAAGAAGATTACCACTTCACCCATCGATGCTCGTAGGCTGGGAACCGCTTTTTAACAATGAATCATTGTTTGCTTTTCATTTCATACACCCCGGCTATCCGCAGCACGACCTCTAAAGAGACGTTGTTGTTGCGGTAAATTGTTCAGAGAAAGAACCTTTATCCTTGCTTTTAGGCCTCAAATGCCTTGAGTAGGCACTTGTGCTGTTCGACCCCTCACTTGTACATATCATGGTCACTTGTAGTTAATTACACACCCATATTTCACATAGCCTATCGATGGTGTAATTTTATAGCTTATGCACACGCTTTCCGTGATTGAAGGCCCATTTACAGCCATATTACACCGTGTCATCGTAAACGTTGGTCATAGCCACCACCATATATAGGACATGGAGCTTCTTGGCCACTCATGGTTCTTGAGTCACAAAACCCTACTAATCAAAGTCATTCAGACTTCCCCCTTTAATTCAAACGTGACGTTTCATATATGAGCAATGTAGCATCCTTTTTGTTTGGTGTCTGCAGGACGGGACCGTATACATCGAAAACGCAGGAAGCCGGCCCGAAGACAACAGGTTCGACCTGAATCCGGACCACACGCACTTCATAATTGTCAAAGACGATACAGTGAACAAGAGTGGCCTGAATTATTTCATTCTCAAGCTGGAACAGCACTTGTCAATGACGCCAGATGAAGACAGTGGTAAGGGTTGCGTTTAGTTTTACAAAACAATTACTTCTTCAGCGTCCTTCTGGAGCATGCTAAACAAGCGTTCTTTTAATCTGTCGAAGGATGCTGCCTCCGGTATTTAAAGCGGAATACTTTAGAAATACCACATTTCGAAAGACGATGCTGCACGTAGATCCAGAAAAGCTTTTCATGACGTTCAAGTTTTAACTGTGGACATACAAGGACGCAGTGAAATAGATTATACAGGATTATACGTACTGTTTATTATGGTATATTGACTGTTCATCTTCACGACCAGTCAACTTGTCTCTTCGTTAACATCATGTAGCTGCATTTACACGAGTATTTTTTATAATATCGCATTAACGAATGATGGCGCGCTAAATCTGAGAATGGGGTAACGGCAAAGAATGTATGTTATATGCCTCGTGCGTCTCAAGTCTTCTTCAGCGTGCAGAAATTGCACCTGTTTTCTTGTTACAACTTCAGTGATTCCTCCGACCATGGGTCCTCCCCCGTCAACGCTGTACTCGGCCGAGATCCCCGTCGTAGCGCTCGTGTGCCAGGGAGGAACCGGTTGCAACAAGATGGTCCTCGAGCACCTCAAGAAACAACTGCCCGTCTTGGTCATACAGGGAAGCGGAGGCGTGGCCGATTTGCTGTCGCTTGCCTTCAATGAGATCGACAGGCGGTGAGAATGAAAGGGTTGGACCTTTGCACAACGACCGTGGCTTTCTGAATCAGGAGTGTGGCGCATGTCTGAAATGACGTGATGGACTTGAAGGCGAATAAGCTCAACTCGTATCGAGGCATAATCCTTCGGGACAAGAAATTCCCACTGAACCCAATTGACGTTTGGCCTCGGAACATAACATATTGTTTTGGGGAAACATAGCCGAAGTCTTGTACTCGTAAAGTTGTTGATTAATGTGGAATGATCGGCCCTTAAAGTACGGAACCTCATATCTCCTATATAATGCGTATTCTAGTCACCTTTGTTGTTGCTAGTACACAAAATCTGTTGGCTGTATCAGAGTGTTTTCTGAGAGGGGGGGGGGGGGGGGGGGGGGGTTGGTGACTCGTTTGTTCCAGATAAAGCTCTAAGGAATGTTTGACCAAAATATATTCTCCTTAGTCATCCTAAGACACCACAACAGCTGAGACCACTGGAAAGCTATATCACTGTTAATACTGCCAGAAAATTCTGTGAAGTTTACTCCAATATTGCCCAGGTTTTGAACCTTATGAATAACAAGGAATGAATAATTTTCAACATTTTGCTTTCTTCACCGCGATCCATGTTTATTGTTGTTGTCAGGGCGTCGTAATATATTTAGTAAGCACAAAATTAGGTATAGAATGGCCTCACGAATACCAGTAGCTGTTTTGGGGCAAGCGTTTCACATGTTGATCATTAAAGGAAATTAAGAAAGAATCACTGGTATGTCTAAAGAAATCGTACATGGTGTACAGCAGAGAATTGCAGTTAACAAAAGTTTACCTTGCTGGTGCAAGATGGAGCTTCTATTTTGCTGTCTTCGCAGTGGTGCTACCCTTTGGGATCCAGAGTTTGTCGAGAGCGTATTGAAACCCTGAAATTAGCACGCAGATTTGCCAGATGTTCCCCAAGTTCAGAGACAACGCATTGTCTAGGAACGTCTTCAAGGACAGGATCATCGAGTGTCTTCGACTAGCATGCCAGGTAATTCAACGAGGCTATCAGACTATTTTCTTCATGCCTAAGAGAGAAGGTCTACAGAAGTTTAGGTATACTTTCCGTGAAATTCACACCATCTTCCCAAGGGGAACCCTGACTGCGATGCGAAGCAGCAGCGTTGCACACGGCTGGCACCATGGTTTCAACGGCGCTAACGCGGGTGCTGCGGGGAGTACTGGAAGATTCGTTTAAAGCGATGTCTTGTCGTTTCTTCAGAGTGGACATGGGTGCAGGACCCGAGCTGGCACACGTTCCGCCTTGACCACCACGGTCTTGTGATCGGTGAAGCGTACGCGAAGAGGTTACTGCACACACTCGACGTCGAAGTTGGCAAAGATCAGCTTGATGCACGTTCCCCTTATCGTGGTGGGCAGTTTCCGTTCCGCCAACACGCCCTTCATCGAGTGCACGTTACGCATGTAATCATGTAATCGACGAGCCATTCTGCTCCTCCTGTGCTGATGTCAACGCTAAAGTCCCTACGACTGTAAGAGGTGCGCGTCGACACGCCTCGCCACAATCAGTCAGCGTCTCCTCCAGACAGCGCCGAACCTGTTCCTTCGGCAGGTCAGGGGCGAAGTAAAGCGCGAGGATTGTGACGCCGCCTACACGCACAGTAGCGCACTCGAAGCAGGAACACGAGGTTCCGAATCGTTCTTTTAGTACTGACGAGTCGGCGGTATATATATATATATATATATATATATATATATATATATATATATATATATATATATATATATATATATAGCGAGCGGTGGTCGTTGTAGCGGAGCGAGCGGCAGTTGTTGCGGGCGAACGAGGTGGCAGGTGTGGGCGCTGCGGCGAGCGCGTGGCAGGCGGGGAACAGAGTGACGTCAGCGCGCACTTCGAGGCGAGCCTCACGTCAACGCGCACCTGCGACGTGACCTAGTTGGCACGGCTCCAACACCTGCGGCGAGAACAGCACGTTATGGCGCGTTCGTACGGATGCACGAAGAGACAGTGTTACAAGGCTAGTCAAGGAGCTGTCTGGCATCTAAAATTACAGCGTTCAAGCTGTTTTGACGAAAAAGAAAATAAAATTCAACCTGAATTAGGTGGGTATAGTACGTTTGAAAGCGTCAGCCTTGTGTTTCATGGAGTTTTTACTGGTCATCCATCTTCGCAAAATATGATATCTCCTCAGCGTTTAATTCAGCTAATAAGTGCCACTATTTGTTAAAATTTCCTAATTAATGGAGGCAGTTGATTTTTACAAGGCGTTTTACAACGTATGCACATGGTGTGTTACGTTGCGCGTATGTGGCGCCATCAAAGAGCTTTTATGAACGAATAGGTCAGTGCATGTTAAAGGCTTTAAAAAAGTAGTATAAAAGCAACGTGGGGAATAACAGTACCAGGTAAGTGTAATGTGGCTTTACAGCACCCTTGATCCATGTGCCCAAGAACTGCGTTACACGAGCGTACAGCATTACTACAAAAATCACATTAGCCACCGGCCTATTCTTCAGTAAATGCGCCGTTGAAGCCCTCGGCACACGCGGGATGTTTTTCGCTACTCACATGCTCTCTCTCTCTCTCTCTCTCTCTTTTTTTTTATTTACAGACCCAGGAACAAATGTACTTCACGGTGATCAATATACACCACCACCGCAACAACCTGAAGCACCTCGATGACATTCTGCTCAAAGTGGTGTTCAAGTGTAAGTTACACCAGAACCGCGTGGTGTGCGGTGACAAAGTGAAGTAACGTGTTGCGTGTCGGTGTGCAGCCCAAGTACGACACCATCACGCTCACCAAATGAAGAAAGACCTGCTTCTGACGTTGGACTGGAATTGCCCGCACGTTGCCATGTCTAAGGTCTTCTCGAAAGACTTCGCTCAGCAGTATCAGGTGACTTATCGAGCATGTCAGTTTAGCATTATTGTAGGCGATGCTCGTGGTCACAGGATTCCAACTCTAGCACAAGTGCCAGTATCTGTAGTAAAAATAAACGCTGCTGATAATATTCAAGTGATGCCTAGTGACACAATGTCATTCGAAGTTTTCACTGGGCTGCGGGACGCGCAGAAATAAAGTTGAGCTCGTCACTGCGCTTGCCGTGCAGCAAAGGTATAGCGTCGATGATGTCACAGTGAACAAGCCCTTTATAACAGATCAAGAAAATTTATTGGACCGTGAACAAACAGTTCAAGCACTCGTGGTGGCGTGTGTACTGCCGCATATTTTTTGTGGGGCTTCATTCCTGCGGCTTCTTCTACATGATCTACACCACATAAAAATAAACTGTGGAATAAGAAATAATTTGGCCACTTCTGTTGGAAATAACACGAACTTCATTGTTGTTAATATATCAATATATCATTTAATAACATCAAAGTTGGTTGGTTATCACAATAATATAAGGTAGTGCAGTTACACGAAAGCAAGCGGTTTGAAATATTTTCTCATCGGTGATAAACACAACAAATTAGGCTCCATTCCTGCCATAGTACACTAGAAAGTGCTATAATTAAGCTACTGATGAGGGTAGCTTTAGCGATGACGTAGAACCCAAACCATTACTGCGGTATACATATAAATTACTGCACTACTTCAGAGGTGTAGTATCGCTGGAAAAAAAAATGTCGTCACGTTGATGCCTTCTTCATTTAGATCGACAGGGAAGAATTCGAGTACGCTCTGCTGCGACCCAAGCGAGAGGAATTTCTGCACATCTTCCTAAACCGCGGTTTCCAAGTCCACAAGTACCTGTCACCCAAGAGGCTCCGGCAGCTCTTCTCAAAAATTCAACACGAAGAGTTCTTTCGTTCTGTCTGCTGGGAAGGGGCCCTTGGACATAGCATGGTACGCCTTTTAGGTACAAACGCGTCTGCACAAAGAGGACTTCTGTGAATTAAGATAGTGCGACAACCTGTGCGCACGCATGTATATCGTATAAATTCTCACGTGCTTAGTTCAAGTTGCTGTCAATAGAGTGAACTGGTAAACGACGTTTAGCCTAGCATAAAAGACAGTCAATTAAGCTGTTAAACGCACGAGTAATCCTTCCGTCTAAATAATGCACGCTTCGTCATGAACACACACCTAATTCTTTACGTTGCACAATCTTATGACCCAGGCGTGCCTGTTCCTTGGGTGTTCTACCGCGGCAGCAATATTATTGCTGTGATAATCCACATTCCGGCTGCTAATTTAACGAGACCCAAAAAGATAAAAAACAGCGTACTATTTTATCCGAGAAAAATAGTGGTACTTATATGTTGTGTACCTTATATTCCCCCTTTGACTACAGCACCGTTACATGTCCTTGAAGTTCAGTGACCAGTCTTAAAATAGCGTGATCTACTTGTAGGGCCACGTAGTCTACGCTGAACTGGAGTATAATTCGAGTTTTATTGCGTAACAATTCCGTGTCTTCTACGCGCCCCTCTCTCCGTCGGAAATGCACATACTAGCGCCTTGCAATAAGTGCGCCGATCGTGGAGGTAATGCAGAGCGACGAGTGGTGTGGTGGCTGGTGGGCTGGCCTACTGTTCTTACTCGTTCATCGCTCATCAACGCAAAAAGGTCTTAGTACCAGGCTATATACGAGCACTGTCTTTCAACATAGTGTTTATGAAGAAGTACATAAAAATTACCGTAGCATCTGCTACAAGAAGCAAATAACGATGTCGAATAATATAGAGACATGCCCAGAGTGATAAGTTATGTTGTTGAAGAAATCAAACTTTTGACCAGTCATGCTTCTGTTGGACCTTGTTGGTACATAGCATTGGTACACAGCATTTAGGAAAAGAAGAGAGAAACACTCGCGCGGGAGCACCAACGCTTGTCGCTTCTATTTTTTGAGGTCCGTCCTTGTTTTTGCTGGAATTTTCCTATGAGATGATTTGATCAGAGCAAATATGCAAGCTGTTGATGAACACTACTTTACCCTGTCCGAGAAGGAACTAAGGTTCCTCGAGGTTTTTTGTGCGCGTAAGTAGTTATATTACTTTCACTTTTCTGTTTAGTTTCCTGATAGACATTTCTTTGCCTTTCTCGGTGCTTTTGTTTTTTTCTTACTCATGTATTGCTCTTTGTGCCACATAATTTTTGTCACATAGTTTACTGTCTCCTCTATATGTTTTTGTGCTCTGCGCAATAAACTCAGCTGCAAGCAAGTTAGCGCTCGTGCCCTTCATGTCCTTCTTGTCTCTGTGTCATCGTTCCGTATTCGCGCTATAGCTATCGTCATGTCATACCAACTACCCCAAGCTGACACACTTCTAATTTTCCTTCAGTCGGCTTTTTCAGAAGAGCGACGAGACTGACGCTATAGTGCTAAACATATACGCTGCTGAGAAAAGACGATGAATCTACAAGTATTAATGGTGTGCGCGTGTTCGCAGCTGTACAAGATTAGCAAGAACTTCATTGAGGGTGACCTCAACTGGTTGATAGAGACGACAAGTGGCATGCGCAACTTCATTGACCCAGATGAGCTGTTGATGAACACAGCGCAGGGAATTTACATTCAGGTAAATATGCGTCGTGCGTGGTTATAGTTTAGCTGTACTGTCGCTGTGTCTTCGCAAGAAGCATGAAGTAAGAATCATCAAACGTAATGAAATAATTGTCTCTGTGCCACTGTAGTGGCTCAATCATGTTCTTCAGTGCTCTTTTCAATGCCTAAAGAATAGGTGGCTCATAAGCGAAACGCGCGAGAAAAATCGTGCTCGGGATATCACGAAAGCGCAGTATAAATGAAATAACTAGCAATAAGTGAGCAACAGTAACCGACTACGTGTAAATCTGGAGGAACCCGCTTTCAACAGTATTGAGCACATGAACAGAAACACTGAAAACAGCTAATGCAAACATACGGCAAGCACTCGTGCCCACACGTAATTAGTACGCTGAAGAATTTTACCGCGCATAAGGCATAAGTCACCACCGCTTAAAACGAAGCAGGTCTGTGATACGCACAACTTGCTACAGTGGTAGATAATATTGTGTGACATATAGGGGGATATTTATTTGACTTCTGGGCAACTTCACTTCTTCTGTGGTGAAATCTAGCTGGACCGCATGCATACTGCTTTCACGGGCGAGTTTCGGATGGTGATTATTTTTGTATAGCCCTCGCCCGTGTGTACATTCATGAAGCTTGAAACAATGAATTTCAGGATTATCCTTGAGGTTATTCGGGCACTTTCCTCAAATTCTTAGTGGTATACTTACAGGTCGAAGTGGTGGGATATTTCTTCAAATGCTCCGGCCACTTTCTGCAAACTCTGAGCGGTCTGGGTGGTGGGTTATTCCTCAAAACATTCGGCCACGGTCTTCAATTACTGATTGGTCTAGGTGACAAGTTAATCATCAAGTGATTCGGCCACTTTCCACAAATACCGAGTCGAGTGGTCGAGCTATTGGGTTTTTCCTCAAATCATTCGGTCACTTTCTGGATATAGCGAATGGTCCAAGTAGCTCTCCATTCCTCTCGGTAGTGAACTACTGACCGTTTGTTAAAGACTGGCTAGAAGGGAATGACATTTCCTCAATTGTTGCGTCGTAATAGGCCTACTCGCTGTGCGCGCGCGCTGTTTTCTCCGTGCAGGACGCTGCCTCTGCGGAGCGCAAGGCCCTGGTCATCCTCTCCCTCTGGGCAGTCTTCTCCAACCGGCGCAAAACGGCCGAGGTTCTGTGGAAAAACTGCGACCAGCCCATCCACCTGGCCCTGCTCGTGTCCATGACGTACGAGAAGCTGACCATGTACGTTAACGAGGGCACAATCAAGCACGAGCTCCTCGACACCAGCAAGTGAGTGGTCATTTTCTATAGGTTGCTTCTAGAGCTTGACGGAGCACTTACACACTTTTGAAAAACCTAAGTTATTTATGGGCAGCATAGGCTGAAGGCGTGCGATAATTTTGTCATGAGACTAAGCACCAATAGCAATAGATTTATTATTTTGATTACACAAATTAGTCGCTACATCGCCATCGACCACGACAATGCGGCACTTGTCACAACTATTGTGGGCGAAAATGACGGCTAAGGGCACAGTCCATTGATTGGATAAGTCTAACGTTAGGCGTGACCGCGGAATTGTAATAAAACCCATTTTGTGGCTTTTTTTTTCTTTTTTATGCGTGCCTTTTACTTCCAAAGGAACACTGTCACAATGAAGGCTACAGGCAAAGGCGCGATAGAGGCGCTGGAAGCTATTTTGCTTGTGGCTTTGTGCTTCCTCAGGTCTGATTGCTAGACGGACGAATGGTTTCTCGCGGTTCCCTGTTCTTGCTCGTGTGTGTCTGCGAGCTACCTTTTTTGCACGTGTGGTACACCCTTCACTGTTGTTGAAGCTGTGCGAGTGGCCACCTTCAATTTCCAGGAGTGTCTTTTGTACGTCCTTGTCTAGATGCTATTGCCAACACAGAGTTGTATATAAAAAAAGAAAAAAAAACGTGGCATAATATCATGGGATCAGTGTAAGACCAAAGCGAAACGTGTCTTCATGAAGGTAGCTGAACGTTTATTGGGCATTGTTTCAGCAACAGCAGCGAATTCCAAGGTCACCTTGAGAACGGCAAGCAGCTCGAAACTTGCAGCGCACACGTAGGGCAGTAAGCACGCGCGAAATCGCATACATAGTACGAGAGCGGACTAACAACTGTCACAGCTCGACACTCAAAGTGCGCTGTTCAAACAGAAATACGCAATAAACGAGCGCACATGGACAAGCGCGATTTGTCAGAACTTTTACTTCTTCGTGGGTCAGCAGCGCGCTTCTTTCGTTAAACGTGGCCGCACAAGCGAGAGAAATGACATTCCCCAATGGTACAAAAGAGCTTGGCACAACGCTGGCCTAAGGTCGTTGGCCAACCTGGCCGACGCTGGGCATAGGTCGGCTGCTGAGGTCTGCCCACGTATGGGGATGGACACTGGCATCACGTTGGCCGATGTGATGGTCACCGACGTAGGGCCGACAACATTAGCCGACCTGGTTGAGTGCCGGCCTCCGTATGGCCACGTTCGGCCCGGGGAAAATTAGCAAGATGCCAGCTGACGACCACTAGGGCGTAGCCTGAAAAGGCGGGAGTTAACTTCCTCTTGATTTCCTTTAATTTGCAACGTGTACTGTATTGTACACATATGCATGCAAGCCTAGAAACCCACGCACGAACATACATAAAGTATGATTGCACCCCACCAGCCTCCACAAACAAAATTTCAGGTCACGCCAGTAGCAGCCACTGTAGTTCAAAGATGTTCTGAACTATAGGAGCATCAACGAAGCTCACGTCACAGGTAACGGGCCTAAATCTTCTTTATTTACACAAATGATTCACGCGAACACTTATGGCGAATCGTGGATACTCTCTCCGTGACGCCTGCGCGATCGGCCGCCTTCATTGTCCTGGGTTTTAACCAATCATTTTGACGACATTGCAGGCGTCGTGCATTGATGCACCAACATGATTTACCATGAGAGAGCCTGCAAATACAAGAAAATCAATAATTAAAACACCCGGTGAGATCCGCCAAGATGGCTTTAAAGCACCACTACAAGTATTCTTAGAAAAAAGACTTGACATGCTTCCGAGCTATAGGTACGACAGAAGATGAATAGTATTTTGAGAGGCTCATTTCTTTCATGAAAACAATTAAACCACTAGACAATATAACTAAGGAAAACATAGGTGAACCATTTACTTTAGAAAAAACAGTAGTGCAAACTATGACCTACGCTGAAAGGGGCTGAATTGGTTGAAAAAAAAAGAGCGCTTACCGTCAGTGTGCTATACAAGCTGTAAGCAACAAAACTCTCAATTCAGTGACCCGGCACAGCAATATCTTCAACGTAAAATGATGGAAGCAGTTTTCTAGCATGCAAAAAGGCAAAGAGATCACTCATCCAAAGGTAGTGTTCAAATTTTGCTTCGCTTGCAGTTGTGAAAGTTTCGCAAACCATGGTATGCTATTGCTATAGCTCGAATAGTGTAGCAATCTACTGAGATACTGCGACACAAATACGGTGCTTCTCTTTAGAGCACCCTACGAGGTTGGTGTCAGGGTGTAGGTAATCAAACTGTGGTTCAATTAAATGTGGTTCTGTATTCATTCAGAACGTTATAGGTCCAAACTTGCACCTCCCATTAACAGAAAAAAGAGCGAAAACATGGCCGGTATATTGTAACTTTTCTTGTTAAAGATTTTGCTGCATTCTACTCTTTAAGCCTTACACCTCTAAGCCCCACACGACTGCGGCACGGGAGGTGGGAGGGCTTTCTTAGGGGGTCACGGATGTATACTACCGTTCAAAGGAGATGACATGGCGCTTTCTCTGTCACCCTAATGCGATTTCACTAAGAATCGGGGCATATATACTCACTGAACTTGTAACCACGCTGTTCGCACGTTGATAGTTGTCTCCTGTCAAATGAGCCGTTCAAGTGGTTGCAGCCGCCATTACTATTCCTCAGATGCGTATCTTCATCTAGGCCTTAGTAGCGTATGTTAAAAATGTGAAAAAAATTGAATTTATAGTTGTGGAACAATTATGTTTCTTTTCCTTGGTACACTTCCTTGAAATGTATGTGTAAGAATGCTTATTTCAGGTAGAAAATTGCGCCATAGACAGCCTTATTGTGTCACGTACACTGCAAATACGGCAAAATTAAAGTACTGGCACTGCCCATAATTCAAAAAAAAAAGAAAACGCATTGCAGAGGCATGTTTCTGCTTACACGACGGGAAAACTGACAAGCGTGATCACCCGCGCTTGCACTTGTCACCGATCTAAAAAAGAGGTCCGCCCAACGTAAACCTGCAACGTCGGGCCAAGCACAATGCCCGACCTATGCCGACCTGAACGAATTGCGTTGGCTGATGGTAAATAAACGACGTTGGGCCAAACACGGTGGCCGACCTATTGCCGACCTGGCCAAATGGCGTTGGAAACTGGTAAACCTACGACGTCGGGTCAAGCAGACTGGCAGACCTACTACTGACCTGGTCAATGACCACTCGCGAGCCGACCACTTTTTTTTGGTTGTCTTGCCGACTAAACTGGCCCCCGAATGGTTGCCGACTTTTAATCGACTGTCAGCTACTGGCCCTGTACCCTTGGGTCGCCCTCTCCCGAATTACGAGTCTCATAATCGCGCGCGCAGGAGAGACCACGCTCCGTGGAAGCGAGGATCTTCAAAGCACGCCCGATGCGAGTTAGTCGTGCCATGTGGCTGCTCATAACGAAAACGCGCTGAAGTTTCGCCACCATGAGGACCGCCAAATGGTGTATGGTGTATACAAATGGCTTGCTATTATCACACTCGACAACGTACGCGTTGTGGCGTAGTGGTTGGCACCAGAAGCTGCGAATCGAGAGGTTGCTGCTTGGACGGCACGCGAAGGAACGTTTTCTTTGCGTTTTTTTTTTTGCAATCTGTTACTGTAGATTCACTACGTCATATCCGTGACGAAAATACGTCACGGAGCCGCAGTGGACCCGGGCATGAAAGATTTTTGTCTTAAAAACGTGTGACGTGAGAACATGGTGGGAGAAAACGTCTGTTTGTAAACTTGTCTCCCAGCCGCGGCCGTATAAACTCCACGATTCCGCGTTGAATCACACCTCGAGAGTCATAATTTTACTGGTTTAACCTGACTGACTGAGCATAAGAAACCGCGTTCAAAGTACGCACTGCCTTTACCGTGTGCTTATAAATATTATAGCTATTACTCTAAGGAAGCATTTAGGCCGGGGTGAGATGGAAACGCAGACATGGCACTCACTTCGAGATATGCACCAAACAGAACCTGTCGAATGCATAGCTCCACTATACCGGTGATGCATTCTCGCAGGTACTTCGCGGGGTTGGCAACCGGCGTGCTCGACATGTGTTACCTGGACTCCACGTGTCGTGCTTACGACATCCTGAGCGTGCAGAGCATGGACTGGAAGTACAAGACGGCCGTCGACATTGCAGCCGAGGCCAAGAACCGCAAGTTCCTGGCTCACCCATGCTGCCAGAAGTGGCTGACCAACCAGTTTTTGGGTCGTATTAGCATCCGCGACATCACCTGGGGATTCTTCAGCGTTCCTCTGTGGCTGAAGGTGACACTTGGGTGGATTAGGCTTGTCCGATTTACCGAAACATGTGAAGGAAGGAAATGCACAGCTACCGCTGATCTTTCCCAAGTGGAAATCGCTTAAAAGAAACGAAGCCTGAGTAGTGAAAGAAAGCCGGCGAAAAAAAGAAAACAAGTTCTTTAGCCCTGTCCAGAAAGGGCGACGCGCTAAGCTTGCTATATGTGTACCATGCGTACTACTTTTTTGTATCGCATTATGCTATGTCTTTCCCGGTTCCTTTCGTGTGGGTGACACAACCTTCTTGCATGTGTGTAGCAGTGCAACACCTCATTTTCTACAAGCATGAATGATTACGATGTGTCCTTATCCTGGCAACAATGAATTTCGGCAACGTCAAATGTCAGGTCACCCAAATATGAATACGGATTGCCGTTTCACAAAGAGCGAATTCTTTACAGGTTCCTCACCAGCACGTACAAAAACAGAGTATACAGATTGACGTTTGTAAGGTGCACCTTCGAAGGGCCTATTTTTGCACACCCACATCGCTGCACCATCGCAGACACTGTTGTTTTCGGACATATGATAGAATTTTGGAGGCATAAAAGATTTCTTGTAAAGAATGAAACATACTGTAATTCACACATCTATGATCACGTCATTGCCGATCCATGCAATCTTTTTGTTATTTATCCACGAGTTGGGATACACACATGCTTCACCACTGTCATTTTATCAGGCATACAATGTTTCACACTCTGAAGTCGTGGCTACTAGGTGCGCTGATCAACACTCCCAGGTTTGAGTACACATATATGCCCCATAAAGTAGTCGCAAGAATGAGCACCGCTTTAGCGCAGTTTAAGAGCATCGGATGCATCAGTATGTCGTAGGCTCCAACAAAGCCGGCGGCCAGTAATCTTTTCGTCCACTCTCATTTCTTTAGAGTTATATCACAATTACAATGCTGTTAGTAGTCCTAATAGTTTTTGACGTCACTGTCTCTTCTCAGTAATATTGCGTCTAACAAAGAAGTAAAAGTATTTAAATTTCAACTTCCTTCCTTCACTGGAATGTTTGTAACTTCTGCTATTTCTTATAAATTGCCGTCACACAGCAGAATTGTTTTAAAAAGCTGCATTATTCCGGCTGCATCAGTATATAAGACCTTTGTATAAGTTCGGTTTGTTGAAAAATAATGGTACGATTGCCAGAATAGCTAGGTTAGAGGAACGTTTTTCATACTGTACGTCAACCTTAAGCATGGTACATGTTAACACGTAGAACGCAATTGTTTTAAAAAGCTCCATTATTTTGACTTCATCCGTATATAAGACGTTTGTATAAGTTCGGTTAGTTGAAAAATAATGATGCGATTGTCAGAATAGCTAGGTTAGAGGAACGTTTTTCTGCTTATACTCTACGTGAACCTTAAGCGTGGTACATGTCAAAACGTAGTACGCAATACGGAAGTCAAGTCTTAAAGTTTGAACTGCCTACACTTCTAAATCGCATTACTGGGGAACATAACAGTGAGATATCTAGCATATCATTCAGACGATCGAGGTTTGTGTTTATATAGTGATGTGATCTGGCGACTACCTATCGCATGCCTGCATTGCAATCTTTCAATGTGCGTTTCTTTTTTTATGCACAATTTAAAACACTTTTATTTTGGTTCTCCTTGGGTGCACATCTGTGCTACCCTGCGTAATATGAGTCAGGGCAACTCGATCTATTCTCACAGCTTTACCTGCCGTCCTCGTCACGTGTTCTTGTAGCGGAATAAAATGTCAATTATAATTTCTCTCATGATGTGTTTTCAGTACATTGCAGCACTTAGTATGTGTATGCCTTTGTCATTCTTGTAGCCATATTTATAATTATGCCTAGAGTATCGGCAAGCAAGCCTATTTCCTGTTAAAGTAACGCTGAAGTGTCGAAAAAGCCTGTGTCTCGAAATTCTGGTGTCGGCCGAAAGACATTTCGAAGAAAAAGGTCATTGCAAATGTACCAACTGCACAGGTTTCACAAGGGCTATGTGCAAGAGGTGCAATGTTTATCTCTGCTTCTCCCCGAGAAAATATTGCTTGCGTAAGTGTCGAACTGGCCCGTAGAGTATCATGCGTCAAAACTAATTTAGAACTCATGCCTATTGTTGCTCATGGCAAAGAAGTATGTATATCAGCAACCACATGTACGAATTTCTCTTCTTAACAAAGCGTACTTTGTTAGGCTACAATAAAAACAACTTTATCTGAAATGAATGTTTTTAAACTCTGATACTGTCTCCTCGTTATAGTTTAATTACGTAGGGCTGCCCTGAGAGTTCAATCAGCAAAGCCGCTTTCCATACTGATAATCATTAAGTGAAAGCAACGCTTAAAAAGGTATACTTTTTCTTTTTGTTATTTTTATTGCAGGTAATTCTGTGCGCATTCACGGTTCTGCCAATGTACATATGGGTGCGCATAAAGAGTGACCCACATCAGATGGACTATGGCGAGGGTAACAGTCTATCCTACGTTCAACAAGCGGCCATCAATAATCTGCCTGTTTGTTGTACTAATAGCTTTCTTTCCTCCGATTGTAGAGGACGAGTGCGATAAAGACTTCAGCTCCAAGAATATTACGGAAGCTGTGTAAGTTCAAGGTTCTTTCGATATGACCATATTAAAATTTGAAACTAGTAAATGGTTTAATTTTGTTACGTTGCATTCAATTGTGCTGGTGAAAAACATTTGGACGCTAATATACTGGCTTCGTAAGTCTTGGTATTATATTTTTGTGGTTCACACCCACCGCAAAAGTAAGGTAACGTGTTCGCTGATCAGCTCCAGGATGCGGTTTCCATACTTTGGGGCACACGCATTTCGTCGACAAAAATCTCATTGGCTGCGAAAGCGCAAATTGCTGTTTTTGTTATCGTAAAGTGGTAATTTATACATAGAATCATCAATTTTTTTGCTTGCCTAAACGTTAGCCGACAGTGTATACTACTGTTAGTAAATCAAATTCAAATGAAACATATCGACTTCTCTCTTGAAACACCTGCAGGAAGTATGATCGGTGCGACACGGGTGGCACGGTGGGCCAGGAGGGAATACTGATACGCCAGAACCCTCCAATCTATCGAATGGTCTACGTCATGTGGAATGCCCCCATCACGAAATTTTGGGTTTATCAGGTAACGTGAAACAAGCTTTTCGCATAAATGTTTGCTAACGTAGCTGGTTATGCATGTCCCGTATCACGTTATACGCTTTGTCTTTGCGTTGTCCCTTCAACTGTGTTTCTAGGAGGTTATGCTGTCGAATCGCTAAATATGTTTCACAACCTGGCATACTGTACGTATTCATCACTAAAAAAGCCACGTTTGTCAAAAATGAGCATTTCCTTGAGTGGAATTTTCTCGAAATTCATATCGATGTATGAAACATGAATTCACATGTGTTGTTTTTTTGTGTGGTATCGATGTATGAAACATGACTTCACATGTGTTGTTTTTTTGTGTGGTATCTGATTGATTTTGTGGTATAAGATTGACTTGTGTGGTTTAACGTCCCCAAACTACCACTATGAGAGGCGCCGTAGTGGAGGGCTCCGGAAATTTCGACCACCTAGGATTCTTTAACGTGCACCCAAATCGGAGGACACGGGCCTACAACATTTCCGCCTCCATCGGAAATGCAGCCGCCACAGCCGGGATTTGATTTCGTGACCTGGGGGTCAGCAGCCGAGTACCTAAGCCACTAGACCACCGTGTCGAGGCAAGGCTCTTTGGAGCTTTAAAGGTTTCATTGCAATTTGGTTTGCAGATTGCTGTTCAAAGACAAAGTGGAAACACTGAATGCTTTCTAATCGAAATAATTGTCATAAATGCATCACGTGTGTTCATCTCATCATTCGGTGATAGGAAATTCAGCACTTGAACACATAGGCACAGTTTTATCACTTTCCTGCCGTGATAATAACCTCGACAACCCGACCCGAGTAGTAAAGAACAAAGGTGAATTGGGCAAAACCGGCATCACAATTTATGAGGAAGGCACCAAAGTTACCTACGCATTTTTCATCAAAGTTTGTAACTCTACTTCAGCAAGGGGCTAGATATATATACCATAATAAGTGGGAATAAGAAGTGAAGATAAGCAGTAATGTGGTGAGGACATAAATGATAACTAGAGGGAGCAAAGTATTGCTTAGCACCACGGCATAGCAAAGTGATGGACAACTGAGGAAGCGTGAGCGGGAGTAATGTGATGGCGAGTAGGAACTTGTTCACCTCAAGTTGAAAGCGCAGCAGATATAGCAAGAGAAGTAAGGCTTAGGATTGATATGAGGGTATGAAGGTGAGAAAGGATGTGGAGAGAATAAAGCATGTTATATAGCTTTTTGCTCTTATCCTTTGGTTTTCTTTCCGCAACTCTGTGTGAAGAAAATGCTCAATAAAACTGAAAACTGAAAAATATTAATGTTATTGTGCTGTATATACAGAAATGAGTTGGTAGAGAAGGGAGAACAATGGAAAGGTGAAGAGCAGGTTGACGATGAAGGAGGTGGTTAAAACATAACATAGCCATGTAGAGTATTGTACAGCAATCTTTTAGAAAAAGGAAGTGAGAGTAAAAATGAGCGATGGAGGGGAGAAAGGGTGAAGCAGCGTTGTATGTTCTAGCATAGCAGAAGGTGGGAAGAGCTGCGGAGGATGGAAAGCTGGAAGAAAAATCCACTAGCACCATTGTCTCCTCACCTCAGCCTTTGCACCGCGAATGTGAAGCTGCGATATTTTCCTCGCCCCCACCCCGTACGTCATGCAAAACATGGGCGAGAATCTTACCCTCGGCACGAATATTTTGTATTTTGCAGATATTTTACATTCTTTTTCTCGGGACATTGAGCGTCGCAGTGCTGTGGCCTTCATGCGGGGACCCTACGCTAGACACCGTCTGCGTGGTGTGGACATTCCTCATCGCTGTGGAGACGATTGATCGAACTTATCGCCTGCATCTCGTGAGTGGTCAATTTCACGCGGCGACAGAAGTTTGACCCAGCAGACACTTTTAAGAGGTTTGCATATACGGGGCTAATTCATACATAAAAAATCGGTAAACTGCACAAGTCCTTACAGCCTGCAGTTGCTTTACAGGCCTAGACCTTCAAACACATAATATCTTCAAACACGGAGCAGAGGGAAGGAGGCTGTATAAATATGATATGTGTGGTTTAACATCCCAAAACCTCCATACAAGATGAGAGACGCCGTAGTGGAGGGCTCCGAAAATTTCGACCACCTGGTGTTCTTTAACGTGCACCCAAATCTGAGCACACGGGCCTACAACATTTTCGCCTCCACCTAAAATGCAGCCGCCACAGCCGGAATTTGATCCCGCGATCTGCGGGTCAGCAGCCGAGTACCTTAGCCACTAGACCACCGCGTCGAGGCGAGGTCGTATGAATATCCCCACCTCTAAATCTTCGCTGGTGCTCCAGTTTCTGACATACTTCTCTGTAGAATTGAAGAACTGGAAAATAATATATCCAGAGCAACAAACAAAAGTCATTCAAGGGACTCGTTGTTTTGTTAAACACGAACAAATTATTCTAACACATAATTAAGCCAATGAGAGCAATGGGGACAAAAATTGCTGTCTTTAACTTAAGTGCAGGGCAATTTAAGTTTTAGATACATGATCCCACCAGTAAAAAGTGATGTTTCGGTTCCTCCACTTCACTTCATTCACGTAATTACTACACTAACTCTTGGGAACTTATTCGGCCTTGGTGCACCTTGTCCGAGCTAAGTAAACTTAAGGTAAATGAGAATATGAAAATATTATATCTCATGCGTTTTTGGAGTTGGCATCATGAAATTCAGTTTGTTCATCAGGTTGGTTCTGTGACATGGTTATTGATATTGTCGACATCCTGTGGCCGCGTAAAGCAATCAATGCATTCTTCAGAAAAATATGGCACGAATCGAGTGCACTTCGTGTTCATTTATACCACTAGACGTTACGTCAGAATTTACGTTGGGTCGTGATCTGAAGGATACGCGCGAATAAATTTTTCTTATATCCTGCCCGAGTATTTTAGCACTGAAATAGCCGCTTCTAGACAGTTTTTTTTTTTTTTTTTCATATAGGCATCAAGTTCTACCATGTATTGGCCACGGCGAGTATTCCATAAGAGCGAACCAGTTAATTTGATAGCCCAAAGTGGAATTTTATATAAAGTAAGGTTAGCCGCTGACTACAGAGCATCAGATCACACGTAACTATACATAGCACTAACGGAAGAAAGTACAGCTAAAAGGAGCGAAAAAGTGTTTGTAACATACTTTATTTAATTTTGGTCATTGAATTTTGTTTTTTATTTGATTTAGACAAATGCCAACGTCCCCTTGCTATCGAAGTGCATCGAGGTTTTCCTCATCATGTTTTTCTGCGTCACGTACCTTTGCTCGAGGCTGCTGAGGATCGGGCTCTTTGAGGACCCCTACAACGGGAAAGTGCTCACCTGCGTGGGACTGCTCTACTTCTACTACCGGCAGACGCTCATATACTTGCCCATATCACCGCAACTTGGCCCGCTCCTACACATCGTGAAACTCATGGTAAGGTGTTCTTTCCAACGCGCCATTGCGCTGACAATACAAACGCATTGCTTGAACAGTAAGAGATCGCGATGAATGTGTCTCTTGCTTGTGATAAAGATGGTGGGCGTCCTAACGTAGACACGATAATAAAAAGTGGGGACGACACACTCAGGACCTTCATGTTTTCGTGCCTAGCGTCTTTTATCAAGATTTTCGTACTATCTAGCTCAGCTATCTATCAGTATAATATGATCACTACCAACTGGTGGCTGTATCAGATCATCTCTTTGTTGTACATACTTCCATCTGGCGCAAAGCTAATAATTGTGAGGTATTTGACGTGACAAAAGAATGATATATTTAAGAGGCATGCTGCACTGTAGTGATCTGGAAATTTAGACCATATGGTGTTCGTAAACGCCCACTTGCATCTAACAGTACATAGGCTTCTAACATATCGCCTCTATGGACATGCGTGGTCAGCATTGAAGCCGTGACCCACGTGTAAACAGCTAATCTGACGCGAAACATAAATCCTGGGAAAGCAGCAGGGGGACAACTGACAGCGACGTTCAGTCTTTTCCCCCAAGAAAGAACACTCCATAATCTCCCAATTCAGTAGCGGTATCACATTAGCGCAGACTAGACAGCCGGTTTCAAGCTGCACTCTGTGACGAAGTCAGCAAGATTAGTGCCTGCGCTCGAAGTTCTTGTTATAGACGAAGTTTTCTGTTCTTGGCTCTTCATGTAGGCCTGACGGTGCAGTTCAAATTGGTGGAGGGCTTCTTCGCTAATCGTGGATAGCAAGGACGCGTATGATGTAAGCCTTTAAGACACTATGTACACAATTGTGTACAGCACTTGTTTTGGCTATTGTATTGACAAGAAGCTGAGAAAGAGCAATGTAAATTCAGCTGTCGATCTATCAAAGCCCAATGCCGACTGCACGGTTTACCTCTGCACCAAATGCAGCGAGAAGCTTAGTTGAAAAGCATGTTTAATCTACACAGAAGGTGCACCTGACCGCTTCAGTGACGTATTTGTGTACACCGCTTGTTTTGGGTCCTTCAGCGAGTTCCATAATAAAAGAAGTGGCTAAGGCTTATTCTCTTTTCCCAAAAAGTACGAAAAAGTATACTGTGGTAACTGCGGTTAGGGAGTGCCCTAGCTATAAGACGAAAAAATATGACAAACTGAGGGCGAGTAGCACGTGTCCTAATATAGTGAAATCTGTGACAGAGCAGATTATGTGACCTTGCAGGTACTTTCTTGGTTTTCAAAATATTCGTGGTAAAATATCGGCATTATGGAAGTTCCTCTTATTCAACTAATTATCATGCACAGGAAAACGATGTAACGATGTTGCGGAGTTACGAAGGCGAAGCACGTAGAACGCAAGATGGTACGGATGAAAACTTTATGTAGGGCGAAATTCTACAAACTTAAACAAAAGGTAAACTTGCTGCACAATGACAGCGATTAGCACGAACACCACAGATAGACTAATCTAATCGTTCACGAATGTTTTGTTTGTTATGCATGACTTATACAAATTTCAAGCGTCATTACTCGGGCTATCACTCCAGAATGAAGTCTACTTCTCATCGTGCGCGCACTCAAGTCAGTTTCCAGCATATCCGAGCGTCATGCACGAATCAGTGGTAACAGTCTGTATGCGGAGAAAGCCCGATCGTGTAATAATAAACAAATAAACGCGTGCGGCAATAGTGGCCACTCTTCTATGCAACAATAGATGATAGAAAATTTGTGGACCAATAAAACTTCGCATTGGCGTTTTTGTTTTATTTTGGCAATGAAGGTAAAAGTTTACGGTCAAAATTTGCATAAAATCAAGTGCTATGGACATAATTAGCCCGTTTCTTTTTATATTGGAATTCCAGAACGCAATCACAATTGTATCCTACACTCTTAGCCAGTCGAATAAATACGTGCTTTCGCTCGTTATGCGTAACACGACCGTACGTGATTACAGGTGTGTCGAGATTTCGCAAACTTCATGCGCATGGCGCTTCTGGTGATCATATGTGGAGGCATTGTAGTTCACGTCATGCTGTACCCGGACTACCCGATCACGGTGGAGCTCTTCCGCAGGATATTCCACATGGCCTGGTTCTCCCTCTGGCTAACGCCGATCGATGACCTCGAAGGTAGGTGTGCTCTTTGTGACCTCACCGTTACAGAGTTCGCTTTGTAACCATAGGCTTCACTTTAAAAAAAAAATAGAGTATTGGAGGGTCGTTTCTGCTACACAACTATAATCGTCATCTGACTTGCTCGCGTTTTCTTCCTTGAAAACGTCGCACTGGTCACTTTCCTCTCGAGAATTCACTGTTACGCTGATAATGCGCGCGCTGTTTGCGACCGTGAGCTACGGGAACCATGGTGATAAAGCGAGTTAAGAAGTTGGAGTATACGACGACTATTGTTTTATAGCGGAAACACTTCTCAAATACGTGATTATTTTTACATTCCATCGTGCACTGGAGGGGACGACTGCACTTTTTCTTAGTTATCTAAGGCTGAATCCTAGCCCACCCCGCACGTTTTCTCAATCGGACTTGACCTGTCGTCATTTACACGGACACAAAAGAACAACAATCTGTTTGCAGTAGTACATTACTCTCGCGTCTCGCGATATCAAAGCACCATTCTTGCTGCTTGAAGACTCTTTGTAAGCGAAAAAACAAAAAAAAAAGGAAATGAAAGCGCTTAAAGAAAATGCGTATGGCGACGCCACCTTAAAACTCGCAGTGACTTCATCGATTTTCCGCAGGTCGCGGGATTGAATCCCGGCTGCGGTGGCTGAATTTTCGATGGAGGCGAAAGTGCTGTAGGCCCGTGTGCTCCGATTTGTGTGCGCGTTAAAGAACCCCAGGTGGTGGAAATTTCCGGAACCCTCCACTATGGTGTCTCTCATAATCATATGGTGGTTTGAAGAAGTTAGACCAAATTGCCGGCCCAATGTGTTCAATCAAGTCTTGGTATAACTGTCACATCAAGCGCACGAATAAACAGAAAGGAAGAGAGGACAAGCGCTTTCTCGCGACTAAACTGTTTATTAGAAAGGGCAGAATATATATATATACAGGCAATTAAAAAACAACGCATGCGTGTGCAGGCAGAAAAGTACACTCATGCATATCCAACTAGCACAACTTTCGATTCTGTTGCAATTAAGTCTTATCTCTCTCTCTCTCTCCACATATCAATCAATCAAACCTCATCGATATTGCTTGTCGTTTACTAGCGCAACGTGGTTTCTCATTGGTAAAAACGAAGTACATTCTAAAAGAACTTGTTGCTGGGCTAGTTGGTAGACCATTTCGAAAAGTTAATCCAAGCACGAAAACTTGACACCATCACTCACACACGCACACACCCATGCATCAAACACACACAGTGCCCACTTCCAACTGATTTATTCATAGCTCGAAGACTTGAATATATACAGGACACACTGAGCGCACACAAACCACAGCATATATTATCGAACGTACAGTTAATCAATGTCATGGCCTCAGAGCGATAAACTTAAGTTCGCTTGGTAACAACGAAATCGAAGGGGTGCTTACACAGTGCTCTTTATTTTTTTCAGTGAAAAAGGGCCTCTAACACTTCACGTGCAGTTATACTTGCGCCTCTGCATAGAATATTCGTCTCAGAAAATCTTGCGTCACAACCACACGAGACGACATGCACAACCAGGTGCGCATACTTGTCATCTCTTTTTGTCAATTTTTGGGCGTGTTCCCTTAATCGGTCTATAATATTGTTACGAGACAATGCCCCACTTAAACAGTGAGATAGGCGCTGAGGAAGACGAGGTGACTTGTGTGTGCGCGCGCTCTCTCTTGTTCGCCATCTTGGCTTGCGCGTTGGCGCTGTGTAAATATATTTTAAAACGCCTAGTTTCCCTTGTGCCTTCACGCAACATTTTGGTGGAAGGTGCTGGGTTACAACGCACGACGGAGTTACGCAGCGGACGCCTAGTCTCTGCTCCCAACATGTCCACCGGCAGCGACGCTTCCTCAACTGCTACGCCCACTGCATCAATGGCGCCGACCTCTCCTGTTTATCTCGTGGCCGCTCCACCCCGCGATCCCGGCAACTTTTCGGGAACGGACGGCGAGGACGTGGATGAGTGGCTTAAACTCTACGAACTCTTCAGCACAAATCACAGGTGGGACCCAACCTTAATGCTGGCAAACATCATCTTTTATTTACAAGGAACGGCCAAGGCGTGGTTTAATAACAATGTGGACGGTATCACAAGCTGGGACGTATGCAAGACCAAATTACGCGAGTTGTTTGGTCAATCTGCCGGCTGCAAGCAGGCCGCTAGGAAAGAACTTGGCACACGTGTTCAGACGTCCACGGAGTCCTACCTGGCGTATATTCAAGATGTGCTGACCCTTTGCCGTAAAGTTGACCGAACCATGGCTGAAGCCGACAAGGTAGCGCACGTGCTCAAGGGCATCGCAGACGATGCATTTAACCTCATTGTGTGCAAAGGCTGTTCCACCGTGCAAGATGTTATCTTGGAGTGCCAACAGTTTCAAGAGGCTAAAAGCCGTCGCATTGCTTACCACTTTACGCGCCTTCCCAACACTGCTGCGACGTCAACATGTGCGGATCTCCATGTACCGACCCTGCCCAATTCACACTCCAGTGACATCACGAGAATTGTACGCCGTGAAATCGAAGCCATCTCACCCGCCCCCTTGAGAGCACTGGCACCGAGTGATCCTCAGCCGACCATATCGCTAATACAGACCGTTGTTCGCCAGGAACTAGCCAACGCGGGTGTTCACACAGTCTGTTCTGTGCACCGTCCCGGCGCTGTCAGTTCGTCTACCCCGAGCCACCCACAGCAGTATCGCCGCCCTGCTCCACGTAATCGTGACCCAAATGCGTGGAGAACGCCTGATGACAGGCCGATTTGCTTCCGATGTGAACGAGTGGGACACATTTCCCGTCATTGCCGAAGCACGTGGACCTCACCGTATCGGGCAAACCCAAACTTCTCCAACCCCCATTCACCGGCCCACCTCTATGACCAGGAACCACCACGGCGTGAGGGCTCAGCTAATTACGACCCGACCACTACGACCACTGCCCAGTACAGTCGCTCACCTTCACCTCGACGTAGATTTTCCCGATCTCCACCACCACCTCGTTCCCCGTCCCCGTCCTCTGCCCGGCGGTTTTCTTCGGAAAACTAACGGCTGCAGCTCCTGGAGGTGACGCTGCTGATACGACTTGCTCTCCAATTCCTCTGTTGACGCTCCCGACCAATCAGAACTTGATCGACGTTGAAGTGGACGGTTTATCTGTTAAAGCCTTAGTAGACACTGGCGCCCATATTTCTGTGATGAGCCTGCACATTCGAGACCGCTTAAAGAAAGTACTTACTCCAGCCCCTTCACGCAGCGTTCGCGTTGCTGATGGTAGTACGGCTGCTGTTATTGGCGTCTGTACTGCACGCGTTACTATTGCCGGCCGTCAAACTTCAGTTCTCTTCACTGTTCTTTCTCACTGCACCAATGATGTGATCCTCGGTCTTGACTTTTTGTCCACTCATTCCGCTCTCATCGACTGTTCAGCCGGTACTGTGCAACTTGACCTACCGTGTCCGATTGATCCGCCCAGTCGACCGCAAGCCCGTATGTGCTCTGCTGAACATGTCCGTTTGTTACCGCAAACCGTGACCTGCATCACCGTTACGCCCTCGCCACCTGTATCCGATGGTGACTATGTGCTCGCGCCCATCACATCCCTTCTCTTGACCCACAGTGTTACCTTACCACACACTGTTATTCAGTTACGTGCAAACCACGCCTGCATTCCTGTGCTCAACTTTGCTCTGTGTCCGCAAGTGCTTCCGCGCGGAATCGCCCTCGCCATGCTGACTCCTTCTGAAGAATGCGTCATATCAGCTCTGTCTTCGAACGAGGCTCGACACTCCAGCTTCACACATGCTCGATCTTCGCAAGGAAGCCCGTCTCCTGATGTTAAAAAAATGATCGCGTCAGACCTTTTGCCGCATCAAGCTGACGAACTCCTTCGCGTTCTTGAGTCATACTGGGACGTATTTGACTTTTGTGATCGTCCACTAGGTCAAACCAGTGCGGTAAAGCACCGCATTGACACCGGCGATGCCTCCCCTGTCCATCGACGGCCATACCGCGTATCTTCGACCGAGCGTCACATAATTCAAGCAGAAGTCGACAACATGCTCGCCAAAGACATAATTGAACCATCATGTAGTCCATGGGCTTCCCCTGTTGTTCTTGTCAAAAAGAAGGACAACACTTGGCGATTCTGTGTTGACTACCGACATCTGAACAAGATCACTAAAAAAGACGTCTACCCGCTACCGCGCATAGACGACGCCCTAGATTGTCTTCACGGCGCTAAGTATTTTTCTTCTATTGATCTAAGAGCAGGTTACTGGCAAATTGCTGTCGATGACATGGACCGCGAGAAGACCGCTTTTGTCACCCCCGATGGTCTTTACCAATTTAAGGTCATGCCCTTCGGATTATGCAACGCTCCAGCCACCTTCGAGCGGATGATGGACTCTCTTTTGCGTGGGTTCAAATGGTCAATTTGTCTATGCTACCTTGACGACGTTATCGTCTTTTCCCCGACCTTTGAAACCCACCTCGACCGCGTTTCCTCAATACTGGCCGTATTTCGCAATGCCGGTCTCCAACTGAACTCGTCAAAGTGTAACTTCGGACGCCAGCAACTAACAATGTTGGGCCACCTTGTCGACTCCTCTGGTGTACGTCCTGATCCCGATAAAGTGCGAGCCGTGCGTAACTTCCCTGTTCCGACCTGCACTAAAGAAGTACGCAGCTTTCTCGGTCTGTGCTCGTACTTTCGACGTTTTGTGAACAACTTTGCGGAAGTCGCCCGTCCTCTCACAGACTTATTGAGAAAAGATGTCTCATTCACATGGGGCGCTGCGCAGGCTACGGCGTTCTCTACACTTATTGAATCGCTAACAAAACCACCTGTTCTGGCCCATTTCGACGTTTCTGCCCCTACCGAAGTACACACAGATGCCAGCGGTTACGGAATCGGTGCTGTTTTGGTTCAGCATCAAAGCGGCTGCGCCCGCGTTATCGCCTATGCCAGCCGT